GTGAGAGGAGAGACAAAGGAGAGAAGATGGGTGAGAGGGAGAGACAAAGTGAGAGAGGAGAGGTGAGAGGGAGAGACAAAGTGGAGAGAAGATGGGTGAGAGGGAGAGACAAAGGAGAGAGGAGAGGTGAGAGGGAGACAAAGTGAGAGAAGATGGATGAGAGGGAGAGACAAAGTGAGAGAAGATAGGTGAGAGGAGACAAAGTGAGAGAAGATGGGTGAGAGGAGAGACAAAGGAAGAAAGGGGTGAGAGGGAGAGGGACGCTTGAGGAGTGAGAAGGAAGAGAAACGGTGAGAGGGGAGAGGACGCGTGAGGAGGAGAGGAAGAGAAACGGTGAGAGGGAATGCCATATATCTACCGATTACGTAATGATGACGTAGATGAGGTTGTCCCGACGGTTATTGGTCCCACGGTCCCCACGGTCCCCAGTCCCACGTCCCCAGTCCCTGTCCCAGTCCCATTGGTCCCCAGTCCCACGGTCCCCAGTCCCAATGGTCCCCAGTCCCACGGTCCCCAGTCCCACGGTCCCCAGTCCCACATAAACCCCAGTCCCATGGGCCCCAGTCCCAATGGTCCCCAGTCCCACAGGCCCCAGTCTTAATGGTCCTCATCCCACAGGCCCAGTCTCAATGGTCCCCAGTCCCAATAGGCCCCAGTTCATGGTCCCCAGTCCCAATAGCCCCAGTCTTAATGGTCCTCCGTCCAACAGGTCCCCAGTCCACTTGGTCCCCAGTCCCACAGGGTCCCCAGCCCAATGGTCCCCAGTCCACAGGCCCCAGTCCCACTGGTCCTCCGTCCCACAGGGCCCCAGTCCCAATGGTCCCCAGTCCCAATAGGCCCCAGTCTTCACTTGGTCCCCAGTCCCAATAGGCCCCAGTCCCAATGGTCCCCTCAGTCCCACAGGCCCCAGTCTACATGGTCCTCAGTCCCACAGGCCCCAGTCCCAATGGTCCCCAGTCCCACAGGCCCCAGTCCCAACGGTCCCCAGTCCCACAGGCCCCAGTCCCAATGGTCCCCAGTCCCACATGGGCCCCAGTCTCAATGGTCCCCAGTCCCAATAGGCCCCAGCCCAATGGTCCCCAGTCCCACAGGTCCCCAGTCTCACGGTCCTCCGTCCCAATAGGCCCCAGTCTTGCACGTCCCCAGTCCCAATGGGCCCCAGTCCCAATGGTCCCCAGTCCCACAGGCCCCAGTCCCAATGGTCCCCTCAGTCCCACAGGCCCCAGTCCTAATGGCCCCAGTCCCACAGGCCCCAGTCCCAATGGTCCCCAGTCCCAAAGGCCCCAGTCCTAATGGTCCCCAGTCCCACAGTAGGCCCCAGTCCCAATGGTCCCGTCCCAATAGGCCCCAGTCTCAATGGTCCCCAGTCCCACAGGCCCCAGTCTTCATGGTCCCCAGTCCCACAGGCCCCAGTCCCAATGGTCCCTCAGTCCCATAGGCCCCAGTCCAATGGTCCTCAGTCCCACAGGCCCCAGTCCCAATGGTCCCCAGTCCCACAGGCCCCAGTCTTCATGGTCCCCAGTCCCACAGGCCCCAGTCCCACGGTCCCCAGTCCCACAGGCCCCAGTCTTAATGGCCCTCAGTCCCACAGGCCCCAGTCCCCATGGTCCCCAGTCCCACAGGTCCCACATGGTCCCCAGTCCCACAGGCCCCAGTCTCCATGGTCCCCAGTCCCACAGGGCCCCAGTCCTCATGGTCCCCAGTCCCACAGGCCCCAGTCCCACTGGTCCCCAGTCCCAAGGTCCCCAGTCCCAGTGGTCCCCAGTCCCACAGGCCCCAGTCCTAACTGGTCCCCAGTCCCACAGGGCCCCAGTCCCATGGTCCCCAGTCCCACAGGTCCCCAGTCTCTGTCCCCAGTCCCACAGGCCCCAGTCCTAATGGTCCCCAGTCCCACAGGCCCCAGTCCTAATGCAGGTCTCAGTCCCAATAGGCCCCAGTCCTAATGGTCCCCAGTCCCACAGGCCCCAGTCTCAATGGGTCCTCAGTCCCACACAGGCCCCAGTCTCTCATGGTCCCCAGTCCCAATAGGCCCCAGTCTCATGGTCCTCCAGTCCCACAGGCCCCAGTCCCATGGTCCCCAGTCCCACAGGCCCCAGTTCCCCACGGTCCCTCCGTCCAACAGTCTATGGTCCCCAGTCCCATAGGCCCCCAGTCTTAATGGTCCCCAGTCCATAGGCCCAGTCCATGGTCCCCAGTCCCACAGGCCCCAGTCTCAATGGTCCCCAGTCCCACAGGCCCCAGTCTCATGGTCCCCAGTCCCACAGGCCCCAGTCCTTCATGGTCCTCAGTCCCACAGGGCCCGTCCCATGGTCCCCAGTCCCACAGGCCCCAGTCTTAATGGTCCTCCGTCCCACAGGCCCCAGTCTTAATGGTCCTCAGTCCCACAGGCCCCAGTTCCATGGTCCTCAGTCCCAAGAGGCCCCAGTCTCATGGTCCTCCAGTCCCAGAGTCCCAGTCCACTGGTCCCCCAGTCCCAAGAGGCCCCAGTCTCATGGTCCCGTCCCAATAGGCCCCAGTCCATGGTCCCCAGTCCCACAGGCCCCAGTCCCAATGGTCCCCAGTCCCACAGGCCCTCAGTCCCAATGGTCCCCAGTCCCACAGTCCCAGTCCCAATGGTCCCCAGTCCCACAGGCCCCAGTCCAATGGTCCCCAGTCCCACAGGCCCCAGTCTCATTGGCCCCAGTCCCACAGGCCCCAGTCTTCATGGTCCCCAGTCCCACAGGCCCCAGTCTTATTGGTCCCCAGTCCCACAGGCCCCAGTCTTAATGGCCTCAGTCCCAATAGGCTCCCAGTCACCCTCAGTCCCATGAGGCCCCAGCCTAATGGTCTCCGTCCCACAAGGCCCCAGTCCCCATGGTCCCAGTCCCACAGGCCCCAGTCTCAATGGTCCCCAGTCCCACAGGGTCCCCAGTCCCCATGGTCCCCAGTCCCAGGCCCCAGTCCAATGGTCCTCCCGTCCCACAGGCCCCAGTCTCATGGTCCTCCGTCCCACAGGCCCCAGTCCCACGTGGTCCTCCCATCCCAATAGGCCCCAGTCTCATGGGTCCCCAGTCCCCACAGGCCCCAGTCTTAATGGTCCCCAGTCCCACACAGGCCCCAGTCTCACTGGTCCCCATCCCCACAGGCCCCAGTCTCAATGGTCCCCAGTCCCACTGGGCCCCAGTCTTAATGGTCCCTCAGTCCCATAGGCCCCAGTCTTAATGGTCCTCATCCCACAGGCCCCAGTCTAATGGTCCTCCGTCCCACAGGTCCCCAGTCTTCATGGTCCCTCAGTCCCATAGGCCCCAGTCTTAAATGGTCCCAGTCCCACTAGGCCCCAGTCTTAATGGTCTCCTCAGTCCCACAGGCCCCAGTCTTAATGGTCCCTCAGTCCCACAGGGCCCCAGTCTTCATGGTCCCCAGTCCCATAGGCCCCAGTCTTCATGGTCCTCCGTCCCAATAGGCCCCAGTTTCATGGTCCTCCGTCCCAAAGGCCCCAGTGTTCATGGTCCTCCGTCCCACAGGCCCCAGTCTCATGGTCCTCAGTCCCAAGAGGCCCCAGTCTTATGGTCTCAGTCCCACAGGCCCCAGTCTTAATGGTCCTCCGTCCCAAGAGGCCCCAGTCTTGGTCCTCAGTCCCAATAGGCCCCAGTCTAATGGTCCTCAGTCCCACATAGGCCGCAGTTTTTAATGGTCCCCGTCCCACAGGTCCAGTCTTAATGGTCCTCAGTCCCACAGGCCCCAGTCTATGGTCCTCAGTCCCAAGAGGCCCCAGTCTCATGGTCCCCAGTCCCAAGAGGCCCCAGTCTATGGTCCCCAGTCCCAAGGGCCCCTGTCAATGGTCCCTCAGTGCCATAGTCCCCAGTCTCCATGGTCCTCCCGTCCCACAGGCCCCAGCTTCATGGTCCCCAGTCCCAAGAGGCCCCAGTCTCATGGTCCTCCAGTCCCACAGGGCTCCCAGTCTTCATGCATCCCAGTCCCAAGAGGCCCCAGTCTTCATGGTCCTCAGTCCCATAGGCCCCAGTCTTCATGGCCCCCGTCCCAATAGGCCCCAGTCTTCATGGTCCTCAGTCCCAAGAGGCCCCAGTTCAATGGTCCTCCGTCCAGAGGCCCCAGTCTTCATGGTCCTCCGTCCCAATAGGCCCCAGTCTTCAGATCCCAGTCCTAAGAGGCCCCAGTCTCATGGTCCTCCGTCCCACAGGCCCCAGTCTTAATGGTCCCCAGTCCCATAGGGCCCCAGTCTTCATGGTCCTCCGTCCCACTGGGCCCCAGTCTTAATGGTCCTCAGTCCCATAGGCCCCAGTCTTAATGGTCCCGGTGCCAATAGGCCCCAGTCTCATGGTCCCAGTCCCACACTAGGCCCAGTCCAACGGTCCTCCGTCCCATAGGCCCCAGTCTTAATGGTCCCTCAGTCCCACAGGCCCCAGTCTTCATGGTCTCAGTCCCAGGGGCCCCAGTCTTCATGGTCCCAGTCCCAAGAGGCCCCAGTCTTCATGGTCCTCAGTCCCAAGAGGTCCCAGTTCATGGTCCTCAGTCCTAGGCCCCAGTCTTCATGGTCCCTCAGTCCCAAGAGGCCCCAGTCTTAATGGTCCCCAGTCCCATAGGCCCCAGTCTTAATGGTCCCGTCCCACATGGGCCCCAGTCTAATGGTCCCTCAGTCCAACAGGCCCCAGTCCACGGTCCCCAGTCCCAATAGGGCCCAGTCCAATGGTCCCTCAGTCCCACAAGGCCCCAGTCTTAATGGTCCTCCGTCCCACAGGCCCCAGTCCCCAGGTGGTCCCTCAGTCCCACAGGCCCCAGTCTTCATGGTCCCCAGTCCCAAGAGGCCCCAGTCTTCATCTGTCCTCAGTCCCTATGCCCCAGTCTTCATGGTCCTCAGTCCTAAGAGGCCCCAGCTCATGGTCTCAGTCTAAGAGGCCCTAGGTCTCATGTCCTCCGTCCCATAGGCCCCAGTCTCATGGTCCCTCCGTCCCACAGGCCCCAGTTCATGGTCCCTCAGTCCCAATAGGCCCCAGTCTTTCATGGTCCTCCGTCCCACAGGCCCCAGTTCCCAATGGTCCTCCGTCCCACAGGCCCCAGTCTTCATGGTCCCTCAGTCCCATAGGCCCCAGCTCAATGGTCCCGTCCCACAGGCCCCAGTCTTAATGGTCCTCCGTCCCAACAGGCCCCAGTCTACGTGGTCCCCAGTCCCAAAGGCCCCAGTCTCTAATGGTCCTCAGTCCCAAGAGGCCCCAGTCTTCATGGCCTCAGTCCCACAGGCCCCAGTCTTCATGGTCCTCAGTCCCATAGGCCCCAGTCTTAATGGTCCTCCGTCCCACAGGCCCCAGTCTTAATGGTCCTCAGTCCCACAGGCCCCAGTCTCATGGTCCCCAGTCCCACAGGCCCCAGTCTCATGGTCCTCAGTCCCACAGGGCCCCAGTCCATGGTCCCCAGTCCCATAGGCCCCAGTCTTCATGGTCCTCCCGTCCCATAGGCCCCAGTCTTCACTGGTCCTCCGTCCCACAGGCCCCAGTCTCATGGTCCCTCAGTCCCAAGAGGCCCCAGTCCTAATGGTCCCTCAGTCCCACAGGCCGCAGTCTCATGGTCCCCAGTCCCAACAGGCCCCAGTCTCTCATGGTCCCAGTCCCACAGGCCCCAGTCTTAATGGTCCTCAGTCCCACAGGGCCGCAGTCTTACATGGTCCCTCAGTCCCACAGGCCCCAGTCTTAATGGTCCTCAGTCCCATAGGCCCCAGTCTTCATGGTCCTCAGTCCCAAGAGCTCAAATTAATGGTCCTCAGTCCCATAGGCCCCAGTCTTAATGGTCCCCAGTGCTAATAGGCCCCAGTCTTCATGGTCCCCTGTCCCATAGGCCCCAGCCTCATGGTCCCCAGTCCCAAGAGGCCCCAGTCTCATGGTCCTCAGTCCCAACAGGCCCCAGTCCTCATGGCCTCCTCCGTCCCACAGGCCCCAGTCTTCATGGCCCTCAGTCCCAAGAGGCCCCAGTCTTAATGGTCCTCCGTCCCAAGAGGCCCCAGTCTTCATGGTCCTCCATCCCAATAGGCCCCAGTCTTAATGGTCCTCAGTCCCAATAGGCCCCAGTCTTAATGGTCCCTCAGTCCTAAGAGGCCCCAGTCTTCATGGTCCTCCGTCCTAATAGGCCCCAGTCTTAATGGTCCTCAGTCCCATAGGCCCCAGTCTTCATGGTCCTCAGTCCCAAGAGGCCCCAGTCTTAATGGTCCTCAGTCCCAACAGGCCCCAGTCTTAATGGTCCCCAGTCCCATAGGCCCCAGTCTTAATGGTCCCTCAGTCCCAAGAGGCCTCAGTTTTCATGGTCCTCCGTCCCATAGGCCCCAGTCTTAATGGTCCTCCGTCCCATAGGCCCCAGTCTTAATGGTCCTCATCCCAAGAGGCCTCAGTTTTCATGGTCCCTCATCCCACAGGCCCCAGTCTTAATGGTCCTCCGTCCCAAGGAGGCCCCAGTCTTAATGGTCCTCAGTCCCACAGGCCCCAGTCTTAATGGTCCTCAGTCCCAATAGGCCGCAGTTTTATGGTCCTCAGTCCCAACAGGCTGCAGTCTTAATGGTCCTCAGTCCCACAGGCCCCAGTCTTCTCATGGTCCTCAGTCCCAAGAGGCCCCAGTCTTCATGGTCCTCAGTCCCAAGAGGCCCCAGTCTTAATGGTCCCGTCCCACAGGCCCCCGTCTTAATGGTCCCTGGTCCCACAGGCCCAGTCTTCATGGTCCTCCTTCCCACAGGCCCCAGTCTCTCATGGTCCTCAGTCCCAAGAGGCCTCAGCTCTTCATGGTCCTCCGTCCCACAGGCCCCAGTCTCATGGTCTCAGTCCAAGAGGCCCCAGTCTTCTGATCTCAGTCCCATAGGCCCCAGTCTTCATGGTCCTCCGTCCCACAGGCCCCAGTCTTCATGGTCCTCAGTCCCAAGAGGCCCCAGTCTTAATGGTCCTCCGTCCCAAGAGGCCCCAGTCTTCATGGTCCTGTCCCATAATAGGCCCCAGTCTTCATGGTCCTCAGTCCTAAGAGGCCCCAGTCTTCATGGTCCTCCGTCCCAATAGGCCCCAGTCTTAATGTCCCCAGTCCCACAGGCCCCAGTCTTCATGGTCCTCCGTCCCAATAGGCCCCAGTCTTAATGGTCCTCAGTCCCAAAAGGCCCCAGTCTTGGTCCTCGGTGCCATTGGGCCCCAGTCTTCATGGTCCCCAGTCCCAAGGGGCCCCAGTCTCATGGTCCCTCAGTCCCAAGAGGCCCCAGTCTTCATGGTCCCCGTCCCAAGACCCCAGTCTTCATGGTCCCCAGTCCCAAGAGGCCCCAGTCATCAGGTCCTCAGTCCAAGAGGCCCCAGTCTTAATGGTCCTCAGTCCCAATAGGCCCCAGTCTTAATGGTCCTCCGTCCCACAGGCCCCCCAGTCTTAATGGTCCTCAGTCCCATAGGCCCCAGTCTTAATGGTCCTCAGTCCCAAGAGGCCCCAGTTCCACGGTCCTCAGTCCCACAGGCCCCAGTCCCACGGTCCGTCCAACAGCCCCAGTCTATGGTCCCCAGTCCCACAAGGCCCCAGTCTTCACAGTCCCCAGTCCCAAGAGGCCCCAGTCTCATCAGTCCCCAGTCCCAGAGGCCCCAGTCTTCATGGTCCCTCAGTCCCAAGAGGCCCCAGTCTTCATGGTCCTCAGTCCTGCCCCAGTCTTCATGGTCCTCCGTCCCAATAGGCCCCAGTCTTAATGGTCCTCCGTCCCACAGGCCCCAGTCTTCATGGTCCTCAGTCCCAAGAGGCCCCAGTTTTCATGTCCTCCGTCCCAATAGGTCCCCAGTCTTAATGGTCCTCCGTCCCACAGGCCCCAGTCTTCATGGTCCTCAGTCCCAATAGGCCCCAGTCTTAATGGTCCTCCGTCCCACAGGCCCCAGCTTCATGGTCCCCGTCCCAGGCCCCAGTCTTAATGGTCCTCAGTCCCAAGAGGCCCCAGTCTTCATGGTCCCCAGTCCCAAGAGCCCCAGTCTCTCATGGTCCTCAGTCCCAACAGGCCCCAGTCTTCATGGTCCCCAGTCCCACAGGCCCCAGTCTTAATGGTCCCTCCGTCCCACAGGCCCCAGCCTCATGGTGCTCCAGTCCCACAGGCCCCAGTCTTCATGGTCCTCAGTCCCATAGGCCCCAGTCCTCATGGCCCCCAACACAGGCCCCAGTCCCAATGGTCCCCAGTCCCATAGGCCCAGTCTTCATGGTCCTCCGTCCCATAGGCCCCAGTCTCATGGTCCTCCGTCCCAATAGGCCCCAGTCTTCATGGTCCTCCGTCCTAGCCCCAGTCTTCATGGTCTCAGTCCCAAGAGGCCCCAGTCTTAATGGTCCCCAGTCCAATAGGCCGCAGTCTTATGGTCCCCAGTCCATAGGCCGCAGTCTCATGGTCCCCAGTCCCAAGGCCCCAGTCTTATCCTCAGTCCCATAGGCCGCAGTCTAATGGTCCTCAGTCCACAAGGCCGCAGTCTTAATGGTCCCCAGTCCCACAGGCCCCAGTCTTCATGGTCCCTCAGTCCCATGAGGCCTCAGTCTTAATGGTCCTCAGTCCCACACAGGCCCCAGTCCACTGGTCCCGGTGCCATAGCCCCAGTCTCATGGTCCCCGTCCCACAGGCCCCAGTCTTCATGGTCCCCAGTCCCAAGAGGCCCCAGTCTTCATGGTCCCAGTCCCATAGGCCCTTATGGTCCTCCGTCCCAATAGGCCCCAGTTCATGGTCCTCAGTCCCAAGAGGGCCCCAGTCTTAATGGTCCTCCGTCCCAAGGGCCCCAGTCTTCATGGTCCTCCATCCCACAGCCCCAGTCTCATGGTCCTCAGTCCTGAGGCCCCAGTCTCATGGTCCTCCGTCCCATAGGCCCCAGTCTCATGGTCCCCAGTCCCATAGGCCCCAGTCTCAATGGTCCCCAGTCCCAAGAGGCCCCAGTCTTCATGGTCCTCCGTCCCACAGCCCCAGTCTTGTCCTCAGTCCCAATAGGCCCCAGTCTTCATGGTCCCTCAGTCCCAAGAGGCCCCAGTCTTTCAATGGTCCCCAGTCCCAATAGGCCCTGAACTATCCCCTCAGTCCACAGGCCCCAGTCTTAATGGTCCCTCAGTCCCCACAGGCCCCAGTCTTCATGGTCCTCAGTCCCAAGAGGCCCCAGTCTTCAGTGGTCCTCAGTCCCAAGAGGCCCCAGTCTTAATGGTCCTCAGTCCCAATAGGCCCCAGTCTTAATGGTCCTCAGCCCAACAGGCCTCAGTCTTCATGGTCTCAGTCCAACAGGCCCCAGTCTTAATGGTCCCGGTGCCATAGGCCCCAGTCTTAATGGTCCTCAGTCCCAATAGGCCCCAGTCTTAATGGTCCTCAGTCCTACAGGCCTCAGTCTTCATGGTCCTCAGTCCAAATAGGCCCCAGTCTTAATGGTCCTCGGTGCTATTATAGACCCCATTCGTGTATGGAATAACACTCACTTCAGCGATAATGATCACCTTATGTACAGAAATATCCATAACAGCTGTGACCTTCCATTGAGAGGTGATTGACCCTGGGCCATAGTAAACAATAGCCCTTACTACGACTTAACAGCGACCAGACTTGATATTAAAATTCTTGTGTAAAGGGTTACAAATAAATATTAGGTATTTTTTCCTATGATGAATGAAATGATATAATTCTTTAGAGGGTTATATACAAATAAAAATACTGATAATACACACACACACACATACATACATACATACATACATACATACACACACATACATACATACACATATACATACGTGAAAAATATTAAAGTTTATCCTCTGACCTGGCAATGAAAAAGTCTACGGCCTCCCCACCACATTTCACCTACTTGCATTATTCTAACACTCACACACCCACACACACACACACACACACACACACACACACACACACACACACACAACACAATACATCATAGGTGACTGAAAGTATTGTATTGTACCTTAGTTCACACAAAGACTACTTAACTAAACACAGTGTCAAGTACCTCCATAACCACCTGTCCAGCACTGTCACACCTGGTCAAACAGCTTCATCAGTATAACCATATGACCCTTAACTATATTCTAGAAACACTAAGTCACCTTATGCCTCATCCTGGATAGTGGTGAACCCATATGAATCAACCTGCTCTATATTTGTGCCCACACTTCCTACCCACACACCCCACCCACCCCACACACACACCTCCAACCCACACACCTACCCACCCCCACACACACACCTCCCCACACACACACCCCACCCCCCCACACACACACACTCCCCACCCACACACCCACCCACCCCCACACACACACCTCCCACCCAACCACCCCACTCCCCCCACACACACACACCTCCCCACCCACACCTTACTCCACCCCCACACACACCCTCCCCACCACACACCCACTCCCCCCACACACACACACACTCCCACCCACACACCTACCCACCCCCACACACACTTCCCACCCCACACACCCTACCCACCTCCACACACACACTTCCCACCCAACACACTCCACCCCCCACACACACACACCTCCCACCACACCCACCCAACTCCACACACACACTCCCCACCCACTACAACACACCTCCCACCACATAACACTCCCCACCTGTACAACACCCCCACCTACATAACACCCCCCACCTACATAACACCACCCACCACCACAACACACCCCCCACCAACACAACACTCCCCACCACACAACACCCCCCCACCCACAACACCCCCACCATATAACACTCCCCCACCCACACAACACTCCCCACCCATAAACACTCCCCCACCAACACAATCTCCCACCCCAACACTCCCCACCCACACAACACACCCCCCACACATAACACTCCCCCACCCACATAACACTCCCACCACATACAACACTCCCCACCCACATAAGACTCCCCACCTCTCACAAGACTCCCACCACAACACCCCACCCCACAACACCCCCCACCCACACAACACTCCCCACCCACATAAACACTCCA